ATAGTGCCACTGTATTCTGCTCTGGTCAGACCTCACCTGGAGTACTGTGTCCAGTTCTGGGCACCACAGTTCAAGAAGGACATTGACAAACTGGAACGTGTCCAGAGGAGGGCAACCAAAATGGTCAAAGGCCTGGAAACGATGCCTTATGAGGAACGGCTAAGAGAGCTGGGCATGTTTAGCCTGGAGAAGAGGAGGTTAAGGGGTGATATGATAGCCATGTTCAAATATATAAAAGGATGTCACATAGAGGAGGGAGAAAGGTTGTTTTCTGCTGCTCCAGAGAAGCGGACACGGAGCAATGGATCCAAACTACAAGAAAGAAGATTCCACCTAAACATTAGGAAGAACTTCCTGACAGTAAGAGCTGTTCGACAGTGGAATTTGCTGCCAAGGAGTGTGGTGGAGTCTCCTTCTTTGGAGGACTTTAAGCAGAGGCTTGACAACCATATGTCAGGAGTGCTCTGATGGTGTTTCCTGCTTGGCAGGGGGTTGGACTCGATGGCCCTTGTGGTCTCTTCCAACTCTATGATTCTATGATTCTATGATTCTAGGTCAATTCTGTGTCCAGGGCAGCTGTTTATCAGCTCCATCTGGTATGCAGGATGAGACCCTATCTGCCTGCGGACTGTCTCGCCAGAGCGATGCATGCTCTAGTTATCTCCTGCTTGGACTACTGCAATGCGCTCTACATGGGGCTACCTTTGAAGGTGACTCAGAAACTGCAATTAATCCAGAATGCAGCAGCTAGACTGGTGACTGGGAAAGGCCACCGAGACCACATAACACCGGTCTTGAAAGACCTACGTTGGCTCCCAGTACGTTTCCGAGCACAATTCAAAGTGTTGGTGCTGACCTTTAAAGCCCTAAACGGCCTCAGTCCTGTATACCTGAAGGAGCGTTTCCACCCCCATCGTCCAGCCTGGACACTGAGGTCCAGTGCCGAGGGCCTTCTGGTGGTTCCCTCCCTGCGAGAAGCCAAGTTACATGGAACCAGGCAGAGGGCCTTCTCGGTAGTGGCAGCTGCCCTGTGGAATGCCCTCCCACCAGATGTCAAAGAGAAAAACAACTACCAGACTTTTAGAAGACATCTGAAGGCAGCCCTGTTTAGGGAAGCTTTTAATGTTTAATAGGTTATTGTATTTTAATATTGTTTTGGAAGCTGCCCAGAGTGGCTGGGGAAACCCAGCCAGATGGGCGGGGTATAAATAAATTATCATCATCATCATCATCATCATCATCATCATCATCTATAGCACAACAGAAGTGGGATAGGGGAAAGAAAAAACCCCTCTGGAACCTTTGCAGTATGAAAAGTCACAGGTTTTCAGCCGGAAGTGCCAGAACGTGCCGAGAGGAAATGAAGCAGTATGTCTGCCCTGAAACTTTAGCAGTTTTGCAGAAGTATTTAAAGTGGGCTGGCGGATAAACCCTCCGATACAAATGCAAGCACAAAGCATCGTGATTGCACAGTGAAAAGGATGTCTCTGGAGGGGCCCTGAGTGGACCGCCTGATTGGAAGGACGTCAGGCTGGAGCAAGAATTAACCCAGAGGTGCAACGGGCACCCTCACCTATTGCCTCTTTGCATTCATTACAGCCCTGCACTGCAATATTATCACCCAGTACCTGAAATATACTCGGAGTCGAGAGTGGATTTCATGCTCTTTATTCAGCTCATTGTGGTGAGGAGGAATGGAGGTTCCCCAAGAATGTCGGCTTTATATACATTATTTACACAATGGGCCTCATGTGATTGGCTAATTCCGGGATTCTCCTGTAGGCCAATCAGGTTGTGGATTCACTTCCACCTGGAGTTGGATTGGGTGGCTCTTGTGGACCAATCAGACTGCTGCATTCTGAATCCTATTGTTCTAGGACCAATCAGACTGCTGCATTCTGGATCCTATTGTTCTAGGACCAATCAGACTGCTGCATTCTGGATCCTATTGTTCTAGGACCAATCAGACTGCTGCATTCTGGATCCTATTGTTCTAGGACCAGTCAGACTGCTGCATTCTGGATCCTATTGTTCTAGGACCAATCAGACTGCTGCATTCTGGACCCTATTGTTCTAGGACCAATCAGACTGCTGCATTCTGGACCCTATTGTTCTAGGACCAATCAGACTGCTGCCTTTTGGATCCTATTCAACTCAGTACATAACAGTACCCCTTCCAATTCTGCCTCCATCAGAGCATTGGATACACCAACTCCAGGGGTTTTGGGGAAAGAAAAACATTGGTGGCTGCTGGGATCTGCCAGGGGGACCTCTGTGGCAGTGGCAACTTAATACCCCCTGAATTTCATTCATTCTCCAAACACATTTTTTAGCTGGTCAGGGTGATTGCCCCCCAAATCCTTTTGCATTTCCAAAATTACTTGTGACTCAGCGTTACCTAAAAGAACTTGCTTCGAATGCTATCAATCCAGCTTGAGCCCTGGTACATTTCTTTTTACAAAATTAAGCACTGACCACCACACTGCTTTGCAATCAGGAAGGAGCCCCTAATTAATCTGCCTTCTGGGGTGACATGAGCTCTCCCTCTCTGTCAAATAAACTCTTTTGCCGAACAAACTTTGCATCAGTCTGGTGAGTCATTGTTGATTTATGATGTAGTGGATGCAGCTTAACATAGTAACCCAAACACGACCCAGAATGGTTTCATTTGCTGGTTTATCTGCAATTATGCAGGCAATAATTAATAGCTCACAGGGACAGCAGATATTCAATGCACAAGGTGGTAAATAATGATGGCAGTCGTCTGTTCTGAATTGAAATAAACTCGTGGGAGGAATGAAGGCTGCAAGATCTGGAGATCAGAGGGGAGCAATTTGAGTGGGTCCAGACACAGTATTGGAACTGAAAGTTTCCTAGATTGTGAATCGAGACACAGTTCCTAGGACTAAGTTCCATTAAACAGAATGAGAATTATTGCCATGTAAACAGGCATAGGATGTATGCTGTTAAAGCTTCTTCAAACAATATGCTATCGCAAAAGAATAACAGACATTTAGCCTGTTGTAATATAGAGTTACTGACTCACACTTGTATGCATGAAAGGGTTAACCTGAGCTCAGGTTGCAAGTGGGTGTGGCATAGGCTCTCAGCAGTCTCTGCCCCCATTTCTTCTTTGTACTTCCTGGAACAAGCAAGAAGCCATGCGGCCATGGCTCCCTGCAAGTGAATTGCATCTCTCTAAAAGGAGTCTTTAAAGCCTGCATCTTTGCTAAACAAAGTTGTGTGATCCTTTTTGTAAGGAAACCAAGTCTTTTCCTTTTCAAGTTGTTTGGAGACTTGTTTGCTGTAACTTCTGAAAGCTCTGTGAGTATGTCAAGAATGTATAATCTGCTGTTGAAATGGAATACACAGGATGAAACGGTTAAATCTGTTATGATTAAATGGGCGCAAGATGTGGGGCATAATATTATGTTTGCTGACTGGGAATGGTTATGGACCACAGGTATGAAATTTACGGCCTGTAACGCCTTAAGAGAAAACATAATGAAAATGATATACAGGTGGTACTTAACCCCAGTCAAGCTAGCAAAAATCTATCATCTGCCTGATAATAAATGTTGGAAATGTAAAGAAAATGAAGGTACTTTTTTCCACCTTTGGTGGACGTGCCCAAAGATCAAGGCCTTCTGGGAAATGATATATAATGAACTAAAAAAGGTATTGAAATATACTTTCTTGAAGAAACCAGAGGCCTTCCTCTTGGGCATGGTCGGCCAATTGGTGCGAAGGGAAGATAGGAATTTCTTTATGTATGCGACAGCAGCGGCAAGAATACTCATTGGGAAATACTGGAAGACACAAGAATTGCCTACCCGAGAAGAATGGCAGAGAAAAGTGATAGACTATATGGAACTGGCTGAGATGACCGGCAGAATACGAGATCAAGAAGAAGGGTCGATGGAAGAAGATTGGAAAAAATTTAAAACATATCTTCAGAAATACTGTAATATAAAAGAATGTTAGAAAAGGCTGGAGAAGAACATTAGACCGTATTGGCAGACAGAGTATAATGGAACAAGTAAATATGTAGTGTAAAATAAAAATAGAGGAGAATTAAATATTTTGAATGTTAAATTAAGAAAATGAAAAGAAGGTTAGAAGGGTTTGCTGGAGATACGATTTAAATTAGAATACAAAGCAGAGAAGTGAGAGGAAGTCTTGGAAATAAGTAAATGGGACAATGGTCTTAATGGTTTAAGTTGCTGTTGTGTTCTTTTGGTATTGAGATTTTTTGTCTTTTGTATTTTTTTCTGTATCGTGTGTTGTTCTCTTTTTCTTGTAGGGTGTATGTGATCTGTTTTTCTTTTTTTTTGCTTTTTTCTTTCTATGTAATTTTAAAATTGGAATAAATATTCTTAAAAAAAAAAATGAAAGCTCTGTGAGTAAACCATTCACTTATTTGCAAAGCTAAGTGTCTCTGATTTATTCCAGCCTAAATGTTTTTATGGGGAGCATTTGTTTAAAAGTGGGTGACAGCAGATTTAACAAAGTTCTAATGTGCTTGGGGGATGCGGGTGGTGCTGTGGGTTAAACCACAGGGCCTAGGACTTGCCGATCAGAAGTTTGGCGGTTCGGATCCCTGCAACGGGGTGAGCTCCTGTTGCTCGGTCCCTGCTCCTGCCAACCTAGCAGTTCAAAAGCAAGTCAAAGTGCGAGTAGATAAATAGATACTGCTCCGGCGAGAAGGTAAGCGGCATTTCCATGCACTGCTCTGGTTCACCAGAAGCGGCTTAGTCATGCTGGCCACATGACCCAGAAGCTGTACACCGGTTCCCTCAGCCAATAAAGCGAGATGAGCGCCGCAACCCCAGAGTCGGCCACGACTGGACCTAATGGTCAGGAGTCCCTTTACCTTTACCTTTAATGTGCTTGGAGCAATAGCCGTTGTGCTTAGCTCTGCTATTGGGGAGTAGGAATCTCTCTTCCAAACTTCTCTCTCCAACATAGCACACTTTACAGCAGCCTTTCCCAATCTGGTGCCATCCAGATGCTTTGGACCACAACTCCCATCAGCCCCAGGCAGTCATGCTGGCTGGGGCTGATGGGAATTGTAGTCCAAAACATCTGGATGGCACCAGGTTGGGAAAGGCTGCTTTAAAATACCTGATTCACTAGCATCTGAATTCTGGTGTACAAGGCATACTATTTCAGAATTTAACTGGAACAAATATAATTGTAAGTGGGCATTGTAGGGTCAGCCAGATGGCAAAATCTCTGGGAACCAGATTTGTCCTCAGGGCTTCCGACTCTCTCTCTCTCTCTCTCCCATTAATGTCTATGGGCTTCTCCAGACAACTGGGCATTCATCCTGATGTGCTTGCACAAGGCTTATGTGATTAGACTACATACCGTATTGGCCTGAATATAAGCCGAACTTTCCCCCCAAATTCTGACCATGAAAAAGTGCGGCTTAAATTCATGACCTTACAAAAACTGGCTTTTACGATATCGCTGCGGAAACAGACATACGGCAAAACGGAACAAAAAAATGTTTTATTGCCGATTAGCGAGTTTGAGACTGTTGTGCAATTAATTCTAATGTCACCCATCACTTTCACTTGTGGGTTCCTCTCTTGTACTCGTAGGATTTTCTTCTACATTTGCCATTTACGGGCGTGAGGAGTGCCTGCGGAATTTTAAGGGAGCGGCTTATATTTGGGTATTGTCTTTTTCTCCCCCCCCCCTTGAATTTTAAAGCTGCGGCTTTTTTGCGGGTGCGGCTTATGTTCTGGCCAATACGGTACAGTCTTTATCAGACATTCAGTCTGATTTGTCTTCAGGCACCAAACAGTAATTCTTCACAGCTGCTCCCAGACTTTGGTACTCGCTTCCTAGAAAAGCTAGATTGGCTCCCTCCTTGTTGTCCTTCTGCCAACAGGTGAAGACTGTTTTATTCAAACAGGCTTTCAGGGACTGACTGTTGTTTTTTTAAAAAAGGAAAGGGTTTTTAAATAATGTTGTGTTGTTTTTGTCGGAATCTCCGCTCTACTGAGCTACTCCTCCGGTCGAGGCCTTCATTCTCTCCTCCGATGATAATTAACGACCTGAGCCTTTGATAAGCCTCCAGTCACGTTCCCCCATTCAGCAGAGCATCAAAGCAGCAGAAGTGACGAGATTTATGAGCTACATTGCAAGGTTTTATTTCTAACTACGCAGACAGAAAAGAAATATACATGCTCTGTGAAAGCAGAGAGCAACCGAAAACAAAGGAACAGGAAACAGTAACATCACATCCGTCTTCCGTGAGACTTCCAACAGCCTGGAATCTCTGGTATGCAAAACAGAGTCTTGTGACTCCAAGCACTGAACAGTGGCACAAACAGAAACCAACAGTTTTTACCATGTGTATTTTAATGTATCTGTTTTTATATTTGGCAGACGTGGCCTGGCAGGCCTAAAAGACTTTGGGGTTTCTACCTCCAGGACCTTGAGGGCAATCCTCCCTTTAGGGTGCTCCCAGCGTGTCACTGTTTTTGAGTGGGGTTCAGTTAGGTAAAGGTAAAGGGACCCCTGACTGTTAGGTCAAGTCGCGAACGACTCTGGGATTGCTCATCTCACTTTACTGGCTGAGGGAGCTGGCGTTTGTCCGCAGACAGTTTCCGGGTTATGTGGCCAGCAGGACTAAACCGCTTCTGGCGAACCAGAGCAGCGCACAGAAATGCTGTTTACCTTCCCACTGGAGTGGTACCTATTTATCTACTTGCACTTTGACATGTTTTCGAACTGCTAGGTTGGCAGGAGCTGGGACCAAGCAACGGGAGCTCACCCCGTCGCGGGGATTCGAACTGCTGACCTTCTGATCAACAAAGCCCTAGGCTCAGTGGTTTAGACCACATCACCACCCGCATCCCTTAGGGGGCTCAGTTACATAACAGCAAACTCAGCTGCAAAACAAAAGCTGGTTTGTGGTTCTTGCAAAGGACTGGCAATGTGGAAAGTGGTGGTGGTGGGGGAGCCACCTGAGAGTATGGGATAATATTTGCCATGACTCAACTGTTGTCTCATCTCCTCACAAACAAATCAGGATGAATCTTAATTAAATAGCTCCTTTGCAATCCTTAAGCATCGCCTTGCAAAGAAAAAAGTATGACTGCTAAATAAACAAGGTGACCGTATCCTTGACTTGCAGGTGATTGCTGTTGGATTTTTAAAAATAAAATAAAATAAAATCCTTCTGAGCCTGCAAATTAATTGATTTTTGGAAAGGCATGGGTCTCCAGACTGTCAGTAGTTTGCAGGAGGAATTCAACGCTTGCTGGAGAATTAAGTTTGTGTAAAACACGGCCGCAACAAATCCACTTTTGTGGTTAGGAAAGTGGTGAGGAAATGCAAGGAGCAGTGCGATTAACGGGAAGGTGTGCAAGCAAATCAGGCTGGGACTCAAGGCGACCTACACAAATTGAAACAACACAAGAGGCTAAAAAAGTATACATGATAATTGGTAAAAAGTCACTGAACTATAATGGGGTGTATGGGATGTTAGGAGAGGGGTAGTACTTCTGACAAGGTCCGTATAGTTAAAGCCATGGTTTTCCCAGTAGTGATGTATGGAAGTGAGAGCTGGACCGTAAAGAAGGCTGATCGCCGAAGAATGGATGCTTTTGAATTCTGGTGCTGGAGGAGACTCTTGAGAGTCCCATAGACTGCAAGAAGATCAAACCTATCCATTCTGAAGGAAATCAGCCCTGAGTGCTCACTGGAAGGACAGATCCTGAAGCGGGGGCTCCAATACTTTGGCCACCTCAGGAGAAGAGAAGACTCCCTGGAAAAGACCCTGATGTTGGGAAAGATGGAGGGCGCAAGGAGAAGGGGACGACAGAGGATGAGATGGTGGGACAGTGTTCTCGAAGCTACAAACATGAGTTTGACCAAACTGTGGGAGGCAGTGGAGGACAGAAGTGCCTAAACAACAACAACAGTACTTCTGACGGGAGATGTGTTGGGTTTCTTCTGGGGGAGTTTGTCCAGTTTTGGTCCCCATCCTGCACTCAGCTCTCACCTGTGGCTCCTACAAGCTGTCAGCAGGCGAAAGCGCCCCCCCCCCCAGGAAATGGCTTTGACTGGCCGGCTAAACCAGGTGAGGGGAGCCAATGGGTCTCAAACCCTCAGTCAGTTATGGATGTGAAGACAGACTCCAGCAGATACAGAGGATGAGACCAAGAGTGGCTCCAACAGTTTCCTTGCACTTGCTGCAGAAGGAAGTGAGGGGCAGATGGGGCTTGTCAACCTGGGAAGGAAGCCCATCTAGAAACAAAGCTCTGATCCAAAACCGACACTGCCTTGTGGGATATCTTTGGGAGAAGAAAAGGCTAAGACCCTACACAAATGTGGAGTGGAGTCCCTAAGATGGTTGGATGGCTCCTTCAAGCCAAGCTGGTGCCAAAACATCTTGCTCTGCTTTCCTTTGGACCACATGGAATCCTGGGGAGTTGGAAGGGACCAAATTGTCCCCAGATACAGTGGGAGAAGGAAGGGACGCGGGTGGCGCTGTGGGTTAAACCACAAAGCCCAGGACTTGCCAATCAGAAGATAGGCGGTTCAAATCCCCGCGACAGGGTGAGCTCCCGTTGTTCCATCCCTGTTCCTGCCAACCTAGCAGTTTGAAAGCACGTCAAAGTGCAAGTAGATAAATAGGTACTGCTCCGGCAGGAAGGTAAACGGCATTTCCGTGCGCTGCTCTCGTTCGCCAGAAGCGGCTTAGTCATGCTGGCCACATGACCCGGAAGCTGTACGCCGGCTCCCTTGGCCAGTAAAGTGAGATGAGCGCCACAACCCCAGAGTCGGCCACGACTGGACCTAATGGTCAGGGGTCCCTTTACCTTTACTTTTACAGTGGGAGAAATAGTCTCTCCAGAAGGGAAACACCTCCAGGATAATAGAGGCTGCGGAGAGAGAGAGAGACCTTTGGTTTTAGGTCTGTTTACAGTTATTTAAATTCACTAAGAAGATGAGCCTATGCTTTGACAAGCATGTTTCTCATGGAATTATTTGTATGTGTTATTTATTTGTTTCTGTACCAGTTTTGAAGAAAGTTCTGTGAGTAAAGCTTTGAATCATATTTATGGATCCGGACAATTTTTTATTCCAAGAGGAGTCAGTTTTTATGCATCCTATTGCTTCAGCCTGTGCAATATTAATACGTGCAATGTTCTCTGGCTCTGCTGCCTCCTCAGACTGCATGTCCAGCTTCTTTCTGCTCTGAGGGGGCTTGGACTGGGCCTCTCCCCACCCTCAAGCCTTTGAATCCTGGGTGCCACAAACGGGGAGAGAGCTGTTGTGCACAGGGTCCCTCTTGCAGGCTTCCCGTGGGCGTCTGGTTGGCCACCGCAAGAACAGAATGCTGGACTTCATAGGTGACGGGCCCAGAGGGGATGGGAGAAGAAGGCCCAAATAAATTTAAGAGCATAAAGAGGGTCTGGATCTTCTCGGAGGCTTGACAATGCTTAAAGAGGTAGTTGCTTTAGGGGAAAGGCGAAAACCTGCCCTTTTCAAGCTATTAAGTTCTCCTCGCTAAGATGTGCTCACATTAGCAGAGAGCTGTGAGCACCTAGATGCCTCTGTGTGTGTGCTTTATTTTATTTTTTCGTGGCCCTCTGCTTCTTCTGGAAAGCGATTCTCAAGGGGCATTAGCTCTGAGCGTTTCCCGGTAAACTGCCAAGCTTGGAAGCCACGCTTTCAGTTTTGCCCGGACACTAATGCAATTTCCATCTAGTTAAGAGCAGAAATCATAAGAAGCAAAGGGGGCCCCTCTCCCGGCGGCTGCCAGCTTCCCCACTGTTGCTTCTCACACATCTTTGCAAATGGCTCCTTGAATCTGAGAGTCAAATGGGGCTGGTAATTATTCTACATGCCTGGAAGGAAGACTGCAGAATGACAAATTAAGAGAACCGAGGCAACCCAATAGATTTTGATAAATGCTTCCATAGATTGCCACTGCTGGGACTTATCCTTTATCCTTCCCTATCTTCAGCCTCTGGGAGGCAAGGAGAATAATACTATGCCGGTGGTTCTGCAGCCATTTTGACATTCTTCCTTTTTTTTTTTATAAGATATTTATTAAAATTTCAAAAATAAA